GACGTAACCATTTAGGTCGAGGACGTCATAAACCGAAGACCTCCCGTATTTCAGAAGTGAAAAGTGCCAAATGTTCTTTCTATGTGACTTTCTATGTTTTAATGAAATATTAAAACATAGCTTCATTTAAATTCTACAATGGAACCCTACATAGAAGTCTGCCAACATATTGCTGTACTCGACACCTTTTCTCCACATTTATCTGTGGACAGCTTCAGGTGACAGCACCTCTGTAAAACCAGAAGACAGACAGAGACGGAGAGTCAGACAGTGTAAATGTATATATATATATAAAAGAGCCAAAGTCAAAGGGAACAGCTGCGGATGGGAATGAGGAGAGAAACCGAGAGACAGGATAACAAATAGGGGAGAGGGGGAAGAAAACGCTAGACTAAAAATCAACCGAGCATGTACTGTATGGAAACAGCTGAGAGCTAAACTAAGAAGAGGAAATTGATGACAACAGTAAAGTAGCAACAAGAAATCAATTACCAATTTAATTGTTGAGTACTAGTTTACTGCTAAATATTTAAGGCAAACACATGTTAGATCCAAAGAATTCTTGAGGAACCTGGGACACAGGGATTAGAAGGCTCAAAATCAGGCCTAGGACACACAGACGTGTATAAATATATGAGCTCATATTTAACTCTTCCCCCGTGGGCACCATGTGCACTGTGTTGCCATCTGATAGCAGCAGCAGCCGCAGCAGCAGCAGCAGTGTGCCCCCTCCTTTTTATTTACCAGGCTGAGCTTATTTAACACGTAGCTCCTGGCCAGGCAATAAATTAACACTCAATAATAATCTGACTGATAATTACTGGGAGGAAGCAAGACGCAGGAACCGCTGCGTTTAGCGTTTTTCTCTGTTTAATCTTCTTGCATCCCTTTCTGACGTGTAACACTTCATCTTTAATGTTTTCATTAGTTGATAAAAATGTAGTTTTCTGGCCATGGGTTCAGATATGTGAGTAACCAGTCGTAGCCAGTCCCATTTAGACTGGCTACGATATGTTGAGAATATTGATTTTGCAATAATGAAATACATAGATCATAAGGAATATCCCAGTCCCATGGGTCACACCCTGGCATTTTCCATCTTTCTGAGCTGCACTAGATTATTAAAGCACAAAAGTACATCCAGCATGATGACAGTCCACTGACCTTTTCACTGCTGTGTCACACCATAACATGCACCTCAAATGTACACGTGTTGCTGAATAGCCTGCTGATTTACTAGAAAAATTGCTGTAGTAAAGAAGAACTGGGTTGAGATTAGACTGGATTATGAAGCTCTGCTAGCTTTTGTTTGACTCAAGATCTTGCTTTTCACCACTAAAACAACTTTAATAATAATAATAATCTCTCATCTGCCAGATCTTGAAGCCGTTTAACAAATTTTAGGTAAAGCCTGTCTATGCTCTCTCCTTCAAATTATATCTTAATAAATAACAAATTGAATTGGATGACTGAAAAAAAAAAAACGTATTTAGCAGAGGATGCCAAAATGAGTTGGTGGAAACAAAAGTGAGACTCAATAAAGGCATCCTTCTTTGTACCATGTACTCGTTCATGTCTTTGTGACTTAGATACATGTGAAGTCAACAAGTTAATCTCCATTCCCTTCAGTTTGTTCTCTTTTTATGATGTGTTCCAAAATTACCCGACCTTCCTGTATGGCCACTTGCTTACGTGGCTCATCCTATCAGAATATCTCCCAGAGCGGAGGGAAGCTGGCTTTGGAGCAGCCTAATGGCTTTACATGCAGAACCACATCAGCTCCTGCAGATTACAATTACTGATACAACCGTGGCCTTATCTGCACAGCAGCCTCCTCAACCTCATCTACCCATCCCTTCACTCACCTCAGTTTCCTCCATTT